AATTTCACTATTTTGCTCTTTCCTAGAAAGGAAGGCAGAATGTTTGAGCAAGGAAACATCTGAGCTGGAAAGACAGATGCCTCGTGCAAGTTGAGATCTCCCACTTCATGGAGAGCTGTCACACTACAGCAGGAAACGTGGAGAAACGGTGTTAACTCGATACAACTCCATCTGGCTCCTGGCTGGATGGTCTTTTGAGCWGGGTGATGTTACCCATTCCTGGAAAATAACCTCCACCCAAAGCTTAATACACACCCAGAAGGGCAAGGAACACAAATTGTGGGACTTTGGTGGAGCTCTGGGGCTCAGAGAAACCTCTGAAATAGCAAAGATGAATGCTACAGCTCTGTCGTGGCTCTGAACTTGGACAAACAGCGTGAGATTCACCCCYCTGGACTCGAGATGTTTAAAATTCTACATCTAAGGCTGTTAACTGGGTTTCATTTATAATTATTGGTGTGCAACAGTCACCTTCAAAGGTGACACATCTTTGCTATTTCGGGCAGCTAATTTTGGGATGGGACAACGTGCACCCTGAAGGGGAGCAGCTGACAGCCAGGGTGAAAGAAAGAGGGCAGGGTGGGATCTAGGACACACACAGCTCCTCATGACCCAGACATAAATTCTGCAGYTACCTATAGTGAGTTTTAAAAACTCACAGACTCAGGTTTCTCAGCTGTATCGTGTATCTCTGGCAGATAACTCCTGTTACAATGCCAGCTTTGCATATTTTCTGCTTCACCCTTACAGCCTAACAGTGAATCATTGTTGTACTTGCACATTTTCAGTGTTTGTGCAAATCTCCAGGTTTTCAAGATCAGCTTAAAACAAACACAGGGCAAAAAAAAAGACTCTCTAACTGTAACAGTGGAATGATTCCCATGGGATAAAGGACACCTCAAAGCCAGCTGTGTCCTGACAATCTGTTTTCATTGCACAAAGTTTATTCCAGGAGTTTTTCTGGGATATCCCATCCCACTGCCTTGATCYCCAGCAATGAGCACCATGACAAGGCTGCCAGACTTGATGCAAAGGCAGCAGCACTCCCAAAAAACACTTGGGCCCTGCTGTTTTCAAAGAGGAAACGAAGTGCTGGCTCAAATCCAGAGCAGCTTGGCTTTGCTTCAGCTTTGTTACAGATTTGGGCAATCAATCCCCCCTTCTCCAATCCCACTAACCAAAACCAACCAGCCTGGAACATGGGAATGCTGTGAGCTGGAGCTTTCACCTGCCATGGGTTCAGGCAGCAGATCAGAATCAGAGAATCACTGAGGCTGGGGAGGACCAGCCCCTGATCTAACACAGCCAAAACCCCACACTGAGTGATGCTGAAAGTTCCACCTGTTCCCTGCTCCCAAACCCACCTTTCTCACCTTATAAAACATGTCTCCCTCCTCCATCAGCTTGCTCAACAGGATGATCATGATGTCTGGTTTGGAGGTTGCCATTGCCCATGTTGCTGGACCTGTAGTGTACAGGATGCATGATGGGTAAAGAACTCATACAATGCAAGGGTGGTAGGAAGCTGGGTGGAAAAAAATACCCTGGGGTGGGAATTTCTGCTGGAGAGAACAACTTGGCATGGTCAAAGGGCACAGTGCTCCAAAGGATTGAGCTGATGATTCCTCTGACACTTAAATTAACATCATCCCCACTGCAATGGTTTTCCTTTGCAGTCTTTAAGGCTAATCCCTCACGGTGTGGGAAAGGATGGAGCTGTTTCCACAAGAGGGCAGTGCTGAATGTGGAACAGGCTGGGATGGGGGAAACAAACAGTGTTTAAAGGAAAAAGAAAATCGGAGTGGTTACATAAAAGCATTTCTAAATTAAAATCTCTGGAAGTGTACTGGGGAATGTGCAGTTCAACTGTTGATAGGCGGCTCGTGGTTAAGTGGATTGTGATTTCCAGCTTCACAAGATGTGAAAGGGTAGAAAATCCATTAAGGCAGAAAAAAAACCACAAAGGAAAGGTCGTGTCTTAAGTGCTGCTGGTGCTGAAGGGCTGGGGACACTCTGGCYCTGCAGAGCCAGCTCGTATCTCAAGGACTAATTCTGGGAGGGAAGGGGTGGCAAGAATTTGAGGACAACTCATTAGTGTGGGTGAAGAGTAAGTCAACGGTGTTTTATACGTAATTCGGTACGTTTTGGGAGAAGGAGGTTAGTTTTTGAGTTCAAGTTATTCTCTGCAACAGTCATTAAAAAAATTATTTGAAGGTGAGGTAAATTAAAAGATTAGAGGTGTTGGGGACGCATGCAGGCTAAATCAAACAGGAGAAAGCAAGGCTGACAAAGCTATCAGATCGAAGCTGATGCTGACAGCAATGAGATATACCTCGTGGGCGACTCGGTAACGTCTGACAACCTTCAAAGAAAGGAGAAAACAAAAAGTTGTAGGAGAGAGGGGGGAAAAAAATGGATGAAGGTGAAAAAAAAAAAAAAAAAAAAAAATACAAAGGAAATTAAAAATAAACAGTAAATAATAATAAAATTAATAATAACTGGATAAAAAAAAAAAAAAAAAAAAAAAAGAAAGGAAAAAAGCAGCTGTGAGAGGCAGGCAGCGAGGAAGCCAATGCACCAGCAAAATCCCCTTTCACAGGAAAACGTAACGTGAGCAGCTGTGTGGCGCAGTGCAGGTACACTGAGGTCTGGAAGCATACACAGAGCGAGTGAACGCAGCAGCTCACAGCAAGGCATGGACAGAGTACACTTGGCAACTCGGACTAGTAAAGATAGAAAAAGCATTACCAGAGGAAAGACCTTGCCAAAGAAACAGTTGTTTATTGATTAACTTTTGCTAAGTAATACGACAGGAATATAAAAAAAAAAAATAGATATACTCCCCGTTTTACTAAAGGGAATCGAGCAGTCCTGACTCGCCGTCTGCTTTCGGAGTGCGAAGCAGCGGCYGGGGCTGAGGCTGCCTCTGGGTTATATTTGTGTTTTTAGGATGCCAGCCCCACTGCTTGWCTCCTGCCAGAGCACAGAGGTGATGGCAGTGTCCCCCTGTCCCTACCTATCTTGGCTCCTTTCTTCAGCAGGGTGACCACGACCGAGGTGTTRCGGCAGCCCACGGCTCTGTCCAGGGGCCGCATCCCGCTGTAGTCCACGTGCTCGATCATGGCCCCGTGGTCCACCAGGAACTGAACCTGCAACGAGAAGCCCAGCAGTCAGTTCTGCTTCTGGGGGAGACCCTCGTGTCCTGCTGGGGATGGAGGATCAGCACAAGTTTGTTCTTCTCTGCTGCCTGGGCTAAAATCACCTCCACGAGGTCTGGGGATGAGCAGCAGGTCAAGAGAGGGAACTCTGCCTCTTCTCCACTGTGGTCTCTGGTAAGGCTGTCCCAAACACAGAAGGACATGGACCTGCTGCAGCAAGCCCAGAGAAGGCCACGGAGATGCTCCAAAGGTTGGAGCACTTCTGTTAYGGAGGAGAACTGYGATGGCTCAGCCTCAAAAAGGGTTAATAACCCTTTTAAAGAGTCCCTTCCAATGCCTAAAGGGGCTCTGAGGTTGGAAAGGGACTTTAGACAAGGCCTGGACTGACAGAACAAGAGGGAATGGCTTTAAACTGAAAAAGAATGGGTTTAGATTGGACACTGGGGAGGAATTGTTCCCTGAGGTGGTGGTCAGGTCCTGGCACAGGCTGCCCAGAGAAGCTRTGGCTGCCCCATCCCTTGAAGGGTTCAAGGCCAGGCTGGACAGGGCTTGGAGCACTCTGGGACAGTGGAAAGTGCTCCTGCCAATGGAAGAGGATGGAATGAGATGGTCCTTAAGCTCCCTTCCAACTCAAACCATTCTGGGAATCCTGATCAGCTTCCATGGAAGCACCTTCCCATAAGGAGGGCCAGGGCTCTGTGTGTTTACTGCTCCACCAAGCTGAACTGTACGATTTTATGGCTTTTACAGCTTTCCTCCAGCGCATCCCATGTCACTCACCACCTCGGCATCGCCGTAGAACGCTGCCAGGTCCAGCGGCGTGCGGCCGTTCTTGTCCGCGTGGTCGGTGGCAGCGCCGTTCTCCACCAGCGAGCGCACCACGGGCAGGTGGCCCTTGAGGCAAGCCCAGCTCAGGGCGGTCAAACCCTCTTTGTCCATCAGAGAAATGGAGGCACCTGGAAGAACRAGCAGCAGCTCACTGCAGAGCCCTCTGTTGTCACCACAAACTCTCCACGCAGCGATGGCAGCTTGTTTTCAGAGAGCTCTGCACGCAATTATTAATTCTTTTATTAATGTTTCTCCCACCCTCTGTGGCAACTTCAAACACACTGATGGCAAATGTGGCAAACGAGTTGATTCACACCAAGCTGCAACTGCTCCTCTGCGAGCTGTCCTGGCAAACATCTGAGCAGCACAGCATTTCTGACTTCCCTCATCTGAGACATCATCTTTTTTAACCGCCTTTATTTTTTTTTTTTAAACTTAATCCAACCCCATTCCAGCCTGTGTGAGTCAGAGATGAAGACCATTTTGCTGTTTCAGCAGGTCACCATGGGGAATTAAGTCAATTCAGCTCAGTTCTCCTAAAAAAGCACATATTTCCCCTTCTTCGCTTTCCTCCCCTTTTATCCAAAAGTACACAATTTCCAGCAGCATTTCTCCCTGAACTTTACCCAATATAAACACAGCACTGTGGGATACATTCCTGCCAACTCCAAGCCATGGAGAGGGGGACTTGACGTTTTCTTGGATGAAGGAATGGTGCTGCCATCCCAACGGGTCAGCACTGGCACACGGATACGGATCCAGAGCTGAGCAGAGCTTTACGTGAGCACTCCTCCTCCTCACRGCACCAAGACAACTCCTGTTGCCATGGCACAGCCTGGGCTCTGGCTCTGGAGTGTGCAGGGATGATCTGCACCGGCTCTGCTCCTCCCAGGAGCTGCAGCTACCTGCAGGATGCTCCTGGAGTGAGCTGATGAAGCAAACTCTCAACTTTCCAGCCTCTAGAACGTTCAGAAAGCAGGGAAATGATGTGAATTTCCTGAAGGTTCCTGTTCATCCCAGCTGACATATCCCTGGTGGGCACAGCTGAGAGCAGACTGGGAGCTCTCCCCTTTCTGAGGCTGGCATAAGTTGTTTGTGGAGGAGCACAGCACAGGGATGTTTGTAGAGGAGCACAGCACAGGAATGGTTGTGGAGGAGCACAGCACAGGGATGGTTGTGGAGGAGCACAGCACAGGAATATTTGTGGAGGAGAACAGCACAGAGATGGTTGTAAAGGAGCATAACACAGGAATATTTGTAGAGAAGCACAGTACAGGAATGTTGGTACAGGAGCACAGCACAGGGATGGCTGTGGAGGAGCACAGCACAGGAATATTTGTGGAGGAGAACAGCATAGGGATGGTTGTAGAGGAGCACAGCACAGGAATATTTGTGGAGGAGAACAGCATAGGGATGGTTGTAGAGGAGCACAGCACAGAATGGTTGTGGAGGAAAACAGCACAGGATTATTTGTGGAGGAGCACAGCACAGGGATGGTTGTAGAGGAGTACAGAACAGGAACATTTGTAGAGAAGCACAGTACAGGGATGGTTGTACAGGAGCACAGCACAGCAATGTTTATAGAGGGGCACAGCACAGCAATGTTTTCTCCAGGTGTGCTCAGAAACCTCCACCCAGAGCTCTCAGCATGGTGTGGAGTATCAGGATCAGCAGGGGAGGTGACAAACAGAGTCAGGAATGCCACGGTGGGACATGGAGTGCAAGGCACAATCACACATTTAGGTTGGGGAAGACTTTTAGGATCACTGAACCCAACTGTTCCCTGGCACTGCCAAGCCTTGCACTGACCATGTCCCCAAGTGTCACAGCTTTAAATCCTTTCAATGCCTCCAGCAATGGTGACTCCACAGCTGCCCTGGGCAGCCTGTGAAGGGCTGAACAAYCCTGTCAGTGAGAAATTTCCCCTTCCTCAAATCTCCCCCAGAGCAACCTGAAGCTGTTTCCTCCTGTCCCTGTTTTCAGGGAGCAGAGCCCAAGCCCCAGCTGGCTGCTCCCTCCTGTCAGGGAGTTGTGGGGATCAAGAAGATCCACCCTGAGCCTCTTTTCTCCAGGCTGAGCTCTTTCCCAGCTCCCTCAGCCATTTGTTGTGCTCCAGACCCTTCCCCAGCTCTGTCCCCTTCTTTGGACACATTCCAGCATCCCAACACATCGCCAGCTTTCCCTCACATTGCCCACACTGCACCCAGGAGTTCTGAAGCTCTGGAAAAACCTCTCCAGATGATCCTGAGCTGACCCAGGCCCAAATTATGCTCAGGATAAATCCTCATTTCATTCCTGCTTCCTTGAATTAGCTACTTTCTTGCATTCAAAGCATCGAAGTCTTCCCTTGTGCTTTTCCTCTGACTCTTGTGGAGCAAGTGAGAAATCTCCCGCAGTAGGAGGGAATCCTGCAAAAACCCATCATCACTCAACCYTCCCACTCATTTCCCATCCAGGGGAAGGGACACTTTGCACCTCAAGGTGACAGGGACAGACTCCAGGGTACCCCTGCAGCAGTGCCAGCTGAAACTCTGAGCAAGCAGACACAGAAATACCAAGAAGCTGCAGGGTGGGCATAACCTTCATGGGCACTCTGAGCTCCAGGAGCAGCTGTGGCTCCCAGCACAGCCTCTGCCTCACTCCAAAGGCATCCTTCATCCTTCAGGATCTGTGACCTATTTAGCACTGAGGCAGTCAGACAGGAAACAAATGGATGGTTTTGAGGGCAAGTGGCTTAAGGTGATCACAGGGGATTGATCCAGCCTGCAGCGGGGYTTTGTCTGGGTAAACCCAGTTTGCTTCTGGGAAGGGCTGGGTTGCTCTTTCCCTAAAAAAAAAAAAAATTACTGCAAATTTTCTTATGGATTTGAGTTAAAATGGACTTTAAACACCATCCAGTACCACCCCCTGCTATGGGCAGGGACACCTTTTGCTGTCCCAGGCTGTTCCAAGCCCTGTCCATCCTGGCCTTGGACACTTCCAGGGATCCAGGGGCAGCCACAGCTTCTCTGGGCACCCTGTGCCATGGTCTCACCACTCTAATCATAAATAATTTCTTGCTTCCATCTGCTCTGGTGATTGAATTATCCAGCAGGTACAACGAGCCAGCTCAAAAAAGAAAACATTTGCACTTGGAGCATCAAAAARCTGCAGGGAGTGGCCAGGATGTGGGATGTGTTCTGTACAGAGGATGCATCCAAAGCTGCAGTGCCCAGGCAGGTGACCCCCAAGGGATGCTGCTTAGGTAGGAAAACATCAAGGGATTGATTTGTGCAGGAAAACGAGATTCAGAATCGAGCTCCCTCCAAATAGGATCAGCATGAGGAATTATTTTGCTTTGTGTCACAGAGATCCATATAAATACCAGCTTTAGCAGAGCTGCCACCAGGGAAGTTGAATTCCCTGTTCACACCCCATTATTTCTGGGTGTTAAGCCATAGGTTAACTCCAAAATTTTGGGTTTCACATTGATTGATGACTGCAACTTTGCTAATAAAGCATGTTTACAAATGCTGACTGTGTTAATTAAGTAGAGGCAAACGAGATTTGCTTTGCAGCACACTAACTAATGCTTATGGCTCRTGATTCACACACTTTGATTTTAATGAAACATTGAGCAGGATTGTCAAAGCCATTTTAATTAAACACATCACAGATCACTACACTCTGGCCAGGCTTGAGTTAAGTTTTCAGCACCATGTGTTGCAGTGTGTGCAGTGGAGTTTATTCAGCTATTTAAAAGAATGGACCTTTTAAAGTAAAAATTCTCATATTTTTGACTTTCKGGGCTCTCAGTGTCCAAGAAGCCAGAGAAACATGATTCACATTTGCTGGTGATCTCATAGCCCAAATCAGATTATCTGGTATTTTCAACCTCTGAACAAGCAGCATGCACAGTACTCAAGTTCAGAAAAAAATCCCACCCTTATTTCAAGCCTTTTAACACAGATTTATTAGTCAAGCTGCAAAAAGAGGCCACATTTCATCTCCAAGATGGAGAGTGTTAACTTGAGATTTAAAAATAACACACCACCAGAAAATAATGAACTGAATGAATTCCTAAGAAGCTCAAACTGATTTCTGTCACATCCCTGTGCAGGTTACAGCACTGAGCAGCAAGGATCCCACTGGCTGTGGCTCAGGACAGACAGACAGACAATGGGAAACTTGTTCTTGCCTATTTTACAGAGAAAAATAATTCTTAACAGCCATTACATAAAATATTCAACTGTCTCACTTTTTGGCTAAGAGGGCAGACACAGGCACTTACGAGATGAAGAAAATATCCCTTCCCAAAGAGGGATCTTACCTGGAATAAAAATATCAAATAACAACACAACAATTAAATGCTATTTCTAGAAAAAGAAAATGAAATAAACACCCAACCAAACCAAACAAACATTGGCTATTTGTCCAAAATAAAACCAAGAATTCTCTAAGGAACTGCAGCAATAACAACTGATGGTGTTGTCACAGGCAGCAAATTGTTCTAACTCACCTCAGGCAGGTAGAGCAGGAATGAGCAAAAGTGACTCATGTTCCTGTTGGCTGAGTAACCCCCAGTGAGGGAGAGTCATCACTGAAAGGACTGAGCACAGGGGGAGCTGTGGGGGCAGAGTAGGCTTATCTTCAAAATAATTCTGATTTATTTGTAGCAAATTAACCAAATTCTTGGCTGTGCTTGGGGCCTTATCCTCCTGTTGGTGCTGGTGTCAAAAAGGTGGGCAACAACACCACAGCTAAAAATGTGTTACCACATCCTCTGCTCCTTTTTGTCTAAAAGCTCCCAAGGGCATGTTCTTAACCCACTGCCCAAAGCACCTGGGGTTGTTTTATTTGAGAGAGCACCAAGCACACAACACAAGGCTGTGGCTATCGAAAYGAGCTGGACACAATTAAAACTCCAAACACTCATCACAAAGCTAAACAAAGGGGATTTTTCTAGGACAAGTCTGATGGAAATGTTTGCAAAATGTGTCTCAGGGAGATAYTTAAAGAATGCTTTGTGCTGGAAAAGCAGCRYTGYCATTTTAACCTTGTGAGGTTCAAGGATTTCTCCAGAACATCCTTGTGCAGGTCACTGGAGCAGCATCACGAGGCAGCTCCTACCTCACACCAACTTTTAAACCCACTATTTYAAACCCACTGCATTTCAGCAGGAAAAAAAACACCAAAAGCAGCCTCCTGCCACTGCAAAATGCATTTTGGGTTTGTTTCCTTGTGTTTTGCTCAGGTAAGTCCTGCTCCTCAGTCAGATAAGCACTGTGCTCTCCCAGCCATGGGATTATAACCCACCCTGACACCACAACCATGCCAGAGCTGTGATGGGATGTGCCATGGTCAAACTCCAGCCCTTCCCAGCACTCTAACCTTGTGCAAGCAGGAACTCCACGGTGCCCAAGTGTCCCTCWGACGCTGCCATCATCAGCGGTGTCCGGCCCTGCTTGTCTGCCATGTTCACATCGGCGCCGTGTGTGAGCAGGAGATCCACGATCTGCAAGGAAACAAGGCAGGAGATGGGAAAACAAAACCAAAAACAAATGGGAAAACAGAACCAAAGGARGGCAGAGCAGATCCCATGTTCTAAAAACTCAAGGCATTCTGAAAACTCCAGGTGTGGTGCCCTCTGGGATTGCCGATGGGTGATTTCGGATTATGAGGAGGAAGGGAGGGGTAAGGATGGGAAAAATGTTCTTCTAAGTCAAGAAGGTCCACATTGCTTCTAAAACGGTGAGATAACCAGATCTGGAAGTGTCCAAGGASAAGYTGGACAGGGCTTGGARAACTGGGATAGAAGAAGMTRTCCYTGCTCATGGCAGATGGACAGAATTAAATGGTCTTTTAGGGCCTCCTCCACCCAAACCATTCCATGATTCGATGATCACAAAGGACTGAATGTCTTTAATGTCCATGATACTATGATAAGAAATAACCCTAAAACTAACCCTAAACCTAACCCTAGCTGCCCTAACCCTAACCCCCTTCAATCCTAATCCTAACTCTGACAACAAAGGACCCTAACCCTAACCTTAACCGTAAGCCCCCAAAACCTAACCCTCCTAACCCTAACCCTAAGAACAAAGGACCCTAACCCTCCTAACGCCCCTAACCCTTACCTTAACCCTAACCCTCCTAATCCCCCTAACCCTAACCCTAACAACAAAGGACCCTAACCCTCCTAACACCCCTAACCCTAACCTTAACCCTAACCCTCCTAACCCCCCTAACCCTAACAACAAAGGACCCTAACCCTCCTAACGCCCCTAACCCTAACCCTCCTAACCCCTCTAACCCTAACCCTCTTAACCCTAACCCCAACCCTAATCCTAACCCTAACCSCCCAAACCCTAACCCTAACCYRTAGCCAGCCAGAGCTTGGGCTGATTCTTTTTGCTCTGAGCACTCCCCCGAGGCACAGGGGCTGATCTTCTCCCCATGAAGGAACAGATGGCCTGACCCCACATCTCTGCCCACCCCAGTGCCCCTCTCACCTGCCAGTGGCCCTGCCTGACGGCGCTGAAGAGCGGCACGACCCCGCGGCGGTTGGGTTGAGCCACAGCGGCGCCCTGCTCCAGGAGCAGCCTGCACACCTCCAGCTTCCCGCGCCCTGCTGCTGCTGTCAGAGCTGCAAACGAGAGGAGAGAGGTCAAGGGAACAGCCACAAGCTCACTGGAGTGTTCTGCTATTCATGGATGGAAAATCCTGCTCCTATTCCTGCTGGATAGCGAAGTGATGGGGACTGAAGTGCCAGGCTTATCTCATGACAGGAGAAATGAACACAAAAAATGACTCCTGTCATTTCAGTTACCTCAAAGATCAACTCTTCCACAAAAAGTTTACATCATGTCACAGAAAGAGGCTGTTTGGGGCAATCAGCTTTTATTGCTTTCTGCAAATGGCAGTGAAACGTGATGAGAACAGCAATAACTATAAAATAATCAACAGGCACACATGACTGAGATCCAAGGTGTGACTGAGGTTTAAGGTATGACTGAAATCCAAATATGACCAAGGTTCAAATGTGATTGAGGTTCAAATGTAACTGAGGTTCAAACTGTGACTGAGGTCCAAATATGACCAAGGTTCAAATGTGACTGAGGTTGAAATGTGACTGAGGTTCAAACTGTAACTGAGGTTGAAATGTGACTGAGGTTCAAATGTGACTGAGGTTCAAATGTAACTGAGGTCCAAATGTGACTGAGGTTGAAATGTGACTGAGGTTCAAACTGTGACTGAGGTTGAAATGTGACTGAGGTTCAAACTGTGACTGATGTCTAGGTGTGACTGAGGTTCAGGTGTGACTGAGATTCAAATATGACTGAGGTCCAAGTGTGACTGAAGTTCAGATGTAACTGAGGTTAAAACTGTGAGGTTCAGGTGTGACTGAGGTTCAAGGTGTGATGGAGTTTCGAGGTGTGATGGAGGTTTGAGGTGTGACTGAGGTTCAAACTGTGACTGAGATTCAAGGTGTCACTGAGGTTCAGGTTTGGCTGCAAAGAAATGTGGTCATGAATCCATCACCACTTTCCCTAATGTCAAAGCCATTGGCTGTGAAGCCAAATGTGTCTGAGTAGGGGCAGAATATTCAGAGAAAACCTTCAGCTACTTCACAAACTGGTCTGTAGCCTGTCCTTGCCTCATCCCACCAGGGAACAAGGGAGGGATCAAGCAGGAGGCACTGASAGATCCTGCAGATCACATTTGTGGCTTTCCTTTGTCCAAACAAGCACAGAGCAGTGTAATTCAGATGGAGGACTTTTATTTGCCATATCCGACTTTCGCCTGTAGATCTGTGAAACCAGGGAAACAACCAGAAAGCAGAGCAGGATGGATATATTCACCTGTTTTCCACAAAGAACACCGTTTCTGGGCTTTGTTTCTGTCCAGGCCTGATCCTACCAGCCAGGATCTTTGTGCAAACCCCAAAAAATCTCATTTTCAAATGCTCATGATATTACAGGTGGGTAGAAGCAACACCTGAGAGCTYTTTCCCTAACAAAATGTGCTCTCTAAATTCAGAAGTGTGGCTGAATTAGAGAACACACATAAAATCTGAAAATAATTCCGAATTCAGGACCTGCCAGTGACTTGTTTGGGTATTAATTTTAGCCCTTCTGATTCCTCCCTCTCCCTGACTTTCTGTGCACTTCAGCAGAGCTCCACTGGCTCCACACTCTGCTGCTTCTGGTAGGAGTTGGAGCAGAAGGTGGGAGTCTATTTCTGACTGATGTCGCTTGTTTTTGCTTTGAAGCACATTTCTGTGGGTTGGCTGATTACAAGGTGTTGATGGGTTTCCAACTGCAACACTGCTAATGTTGGGGGATTTAATTAATTCTCCATTCTCTTCCACATTATGGCTGAATTTTCTTCTCTTGGGGTTGAGAGACAGCAAGAGTTAAAAGAAAAATCATTTTGCTGCCACAAGCAGAACGTTCTGCAGAATCTATAATCAGATCCATGTGGGTTTTCAACGTAAGCTACAAATATAGAAGGAGGCAGAGGGATKGGCATGCAGGGCTGCTGGCTTCTATTTCTAATCCTGCCTTGCACTTGAAATGTTGCAGGTTAATTTGAGGCATTTTACATCAAAATTACTTTTGTTTGCAACAATGAAAATATTGTACATCACTCCAGTGGATGGTGCTTGTCAGGAAATGCTCTTTGGAGAAGGTTTTACTGAAACAGGATGATTTGATCCACAATGTGGATATGCCCATCAAGCCACAGCCTCCTGCACCAGGGTTCTGCAACAGCACATTCTGCCTCTGCTGCTGTGTTTTCTTGTAGAAAAAAAAAACAACTTTATCTGGAGAAGGAATCATTAAATTGCTCCTATCCAGCACGTGTATCTGTTTCACAGCCTGGCAGCAAGACAAACAGTTTGATGGAGATGTTTTTTGCACCTCCAACTCTGATGGAAGATAGCACAAGTGACTCAGATGCTTTTCTGCTGGGTTTTGGTATTAGTTTTTGTCCTGGGGGAAATACTCCATCTGGAGTTGGCTGTGGTGTGCTGTCAGCAATTYCTAAACTTCTGATGTCACTTGGCACTGCCATTTGGATGATATCAGGCTGATATCACTGAGCCAGGCTCTCAGCTCTGCTCTGTGGAAGAGGAGACATGAGCAACAAGTATCAAAGCCCAGATGAGCCAGGATTCAGATTTTTAGAGCAGGCTGCTATTTTTAGGTGGAAAAAACWGTGTGTGAACTATTGCATTACTGCATTTCTCTCCAAATTTATTTAAACTCTATTTTCTTTAGGGAAAAATAATAATAATAATAATACAATTATGTGAAAAAGAGTCTTGAATTTCACATGAATTTAGAGACTTTTTGTGTACACAAAAGGCCACAAAAGTACCAGTGTACACAAAAGTACCAGTTTCATGGTTGGCTCATTTTTGCTCATTTTCCCATCTTACCTAGCACCAATTTTAATGGTTAAAGTGGATACTCCTTTGAGATGGCTCCTCAATTCGTGTGTGATTTCTCAATCACAAATCCACATTCCCAACTGCCTCAGTTAGAAAAACTCTCAGACAGAAAAACTCCCAGATGTCTGGGAGCTTTTGGGATTTTGGGGAGCAGAAGTGTGGGAAGGAGGACAACAGAGATGGAAAAAGGCACTTTGGGAATGTTGGAGCTACCCAGGGTGTGAAGGAAAGGGAAATGGGAAAGGGAAAAGGGAAAGGGAAAGGGAAAGGGAGGGGATAAGGGAAAGGGAAAAGGGAAAGGGAAAAGGGAAAGGGAAAGGGAAAGGGAAAGGGAAAGGGAAAGGGAAAGGGAGGGGATAAGGGAAAGGGAAAAGGGAAAGGGGAAAGGGAGGTGACTGAGAGCCCCTAAATACCAACACCAACACGCACAAAGAAGCTACAGCTTCTACAGAAATCACCTGTCTCTCCCCAAAGGCTGTCAAAGCTGTTGATCTGTGCTCTCTCCACCTCCTCCTCATCTTTTTCGGGCAGATCGAGCAGGTAGGAGACGATCTGCAACRAAACCATGTATCAGATCATGAACTGGAATGTGTTCTGCAACTGTCACAGGAGCTGCTGTGAATGCTCAGAGGGAAGGGAACAGCCTCTGCCTGGCACCCTGAGATCAAGGAAATATTCCTTCTGAAATTAATCACTGAACCTGCTGCTCTGTACAAGCAAAAAACCCAACCAAGTGTCTTGATATGACAGCACGTGATAGACTTGGCAGGGTCAGCTCCTTGCAGCTGTGTCTGTTCTGGTGTGATGCATTTCCTGGAGGAGGTGAGGCTGAGAGGAGGTATTTGGGAAAAAAAAAAAAAAACCCATTCTCAAGGAAAAACAAAGGAACGGGGCAGCCATGGGTCACAGAGGGGACTWGGTGGGCTTGGCACTGGGTTAATACTCAAACTCAGTGACCTCAGTGGTCTTTTCCAACCCAAATCACTCCATCCATCATCCCCCCATCACAAATCTGTCAGGACAGCAGGAGGAAGCTCTCTGCCTCTTCTCCTCTTCCCCAACACAACCCAAGGTTCTCACACTCCCCATGTGCACAGGAGGGGCAGTACAGGTAAGATCCATCCACCTCATCCCAGCTCAAAAGCTCATTCCCAA